GGGCGCAAATAATTACAGGGTTTTAACTGTACATCCCTTTACGGCCTGACGTAGTTCTTTTTTAAGAGACAAGTGTTTCAATTACCTGTCTGTGGGTGGTTGGGGGTGCTCTGGTGTGGTTTGCTTCTTCTTTTTTATGAAACATATATCTTCCTTATCTCCCCTTCTACGTTTTTGTTCGTTACTCTCTTGTACTTGTAACACCTTTTTAACCTTCTGGCGCTCTTATGACCTTATGCAGCTGCGAGCGCCGTAAAACTTCTATTAAAACAAAGACTTGACGCAGTTCTTTTTAAGAGACGGGTGTTTCAATTACCTGTCTGTCTCGTTTTCTGGCACTGTCAGCTTTTTGTCCCCAAGCAACTAATTATAGAGGATCTTTGTGTTTAAAGAACGATCATTACCTTTCTGTTTGTAACGCCTTACCTCACGACAACAACAACAAAAGCCCAACGTACTTTATTGTGCCCCTGAATATCTCATTTTTATGCGCCCTCTTTTTATCTCCACAGGAGAAGCTGCAAAGTTCACATTATGGCTCCGAGGACTCAAAAAGTAAGTGTATCCTATGTATTTCTACATCGTGAAAAAACAAATCTCTCTAAAAAAACATTAAAAAAATAATAATTTGCGAGCGGTCTGTCTGGCTGGCATCGTTTGCTTCTTTTTATGCTTTTGACTTTTTACCGTTTCTCTCTCCTCTCTCTCTCGCTCTGTCTCCTCTCTCTCGTTCTCTCTCTTTCTATCTTCTCCCCCCCTCCTTCCCCCCCCTCACACACATACACACACACACCCCCGTCCACAAAAGCACAAACACACATTCGAACACACACAAACGCACCCAAACTGGGGTGGTTGGAGGGTGCTTACTTTTGTTCTTTACCTTAATTGTTTCTATCCGACTATCCCAGCTTTACCCTCAGTACTTGACTGTTGCTATGTGTTTATACTTTTCTCGCCCTCTTTACTCCAATGTAAAGTGCACTCACACGCTCGCGCACGCGCCTGAGCGTATGCGCTGTCTGTCTGGCACAGGAAGATTCATCGTCATATCAATTTGCAAAAGTAGACCAACATGACAGAGATTTGCAACTCTGCCTTCCGGGTTGCCTTATAACTTTATGACGCATTGGCGTGTTGCTTTGGTTGCCTCATTATCGCTGTTAACTGCCACTGGAACATCTCGAGCTAGGCAAATTCAAAACCAGGTCAAAACTGGAGAAACGACTGTTTTTTAAATAAATTTTATGACATGGTGAACGCGCCCTTTCAGATATAGTTATTTCATTTTTTTTAAACGTCGAACATTGATTCCAGTATTTTCAATAAAGAACTCCCCTCGCAGTTCAACGTGAAATACTGTCGAAATAGTCGAAGATGGCTACTCACCCATTGTCGAGAGAAAAATATTGAATGTTTTAGACATGCGTTTGTCTAAGACAGTGTCAATACAATACCTGTATATATACATGTATAGTATACATTTATAGGAACGTACTCGTTTGTACATTTGATTGTCTTGGAAAGGTGGCCGTTAGAGCAGGTTCAATGATAATGTGTATTGGGCAACAAATTCAACTTTAAACCATGCTTTAAATAGCCCCCCCCCCCCTCCCAAAACAAAACAAAACATTAAAATAAACAAAAACAACAAAAAACAAACAAACCAAGAAAAAGAGGTAAGAATTCTGAAATTCTAAGTACCTGTCATTTTCTTTTTAATTCTAGGTACCATCCCCGCGGTGAAGAAAGAGGAGAAAGAGGGCAAGTCACTGACTTCCCCGAAGACCTCGAGCCTGGGCAGGAAGCAGGCCACCAAGGAGGACGCCCCAGTCACTGTCTCCCATGAGGACGCCTCCTGCCTGTTGGCTCCTCCCCCGGCCCCGCTCTCGCCCACATCGCCCCTACCGCTGGCGGCGGCGTTATCGCCCCTGTCCTCACCGCC